CCGCGTCCTGTGTGCAGAAGCCATTAGAGTGCGTACAGATGGAGAAAGAAATAGCGGAACGGAACAGTTAGGGTGCGTTCAGATGGAGAAAGAAATAGCGTAACGGAACATTTAAGGCCTTTGCACGTAGAAACATTTTAACTGTAACCGTAAGGTCGTAAGAAAACTGACCAATCACAGTCGATTATTTTTCGAATGCTAGTAGAATAATCAACTCTGATTGGTCAGTTTTCTTACGACTTTACGGTTACGGTTAAAAATTTTCTACGTGCTAAGGCCTTTACGGAAAAAAGATATAGTGGGCGTCAGTCAATCAGAGTAATTCCGTCTTTATTTCGTTCTGTTGTTTGATAGGTAGGTTTTACATGGTAACTGTTACGGAACGAAACAAAAACGGAAAATATTCTAACTTATCAACATCGAAAATTAGTGAAGTGTGGTGAAGTGTATCCAGTTTGTAACGTATTTTTCGTGACGGAGAAAACGAAAAGACTGTTTATTAAAGCAAGTCTGCGAATATTTGAGAGATATCATTGGGTGCTTTCCAGTTGCGTATACTGTGTTACACAAAACCAGTTTAGGTTATGATTGTATATTGGTTGCATTCCGTTTCACGCATTATGCTCGCATTGCCTACAATATACGTAACACGAACTATAGATAAATGCGTGCATATGCATGAAACGGAACGCGGCCATTATCTTACAAGATTTTTTAGATAATATGTGATCAATAAACTGGTTTTGTGTACGTGTGTGTCAAGATGTGTTAAGCAATTGGAAAGCACTTATTGATACTTACTTATATATCAATGAAACAATGTTTGAATTTTTAATATTTGAAATGTATCATTGATATATAAGTAAATATTAATGATACTTCTCAAATATTCGCTGACTTGCTATAATAAACAGTCTTTTCGTTTTCTCCGTCGCTAGAAACATGTTACAAACAAGACATCCTTCGCAGTTTTCGATGTCGATAGGTTAGAATGTTTTCCGTTTTTGTTCCGTTCCGTAATAATTCTGTGTCATGTGAAACCCACCTATCAAACAACGAAACAGAACGAAAACGGAATTACTGCGATTGGCTGACTCTCACCATATCTCTTTTCCGTAAGAGCTGATTTACAATAAATCGAGTAAGGAGTAGAAGTAGGAGTAAGACAAAATGGAAATAATTATTTCGCTTACTCCCTAACTCCAATAAAAGTTTGCCCGTATACATCACGGAATAAGCCTGAATTAAGTAGTAAGAGCTGAAGTAAGGAGCTGGAGTAAGGGAGTAAGCGAAATAAATTATTTCCATTTCGTCTTACTTCTACTCCTACTTCTTACTCCACCTATTGTAGATCAAGCCTAATGGCTCCTGCACACTTCCGCCGCGCGGCAAGCATTACCGCGTCCTGTGTGCAGGAGCCATAATGCTTGTCGCACGGTGAAAGTTCGCGCGACAGCAAATCAATATGCTGCTTTCCGTAATAACCTTCTAGTTCTTACAGAAAAGCAGCATATTGATCGGCTGTCGCACGAAATTCCGTCGTGCAGCAAGCATTGTCGCATCCTGTGGGCAGGAACCATAACTGTTCTATTATGGCTCCTGCACACAGGACGCGGTAATGCTTGCCGCGCGGCGGAAGTTCGCGCGACAGCCAATCAATATGCTGCTTTCCGTAATAACCTTCTAGCTCTTACGCTATTTCTTTCTCCATTTGAACGCATCCTTAAGCTTCTTCTACAATGGCAGTAGGAGTAGTAGTAAGAAATAAGCAGTAAGTAAATAGACTAATCACAATCGATTGTTTTTGAAACATGAGAATGGAATTGGTCAATTTGCTTACTGCTTATTTCTTACTACTACTCCTACTGCCATTGTAGAAGACGCTTTATACACAGATGGCAATGGTTCGCGCTTTCGCCATACGAGGTCTCCAAACGCAACTCAGGATTTGCCTACGACTCCTGCAAACTCTGCAAAAAAAATAGATAGTTGGGACTTGTGAAAGAAAGAAGAAATGAGTACTAGTGCACAAATTAGTGCAAGAATAATTCTACAATAGAAAACAAATCCAAAAAAAGATCACTGTTAAAAGAAAGGTCAATATTTGTTAAAAACTTTAAATAACCTAAGATAACTATAAAAAATTAACATTTTTTTTATATTAAAATTTATCCAAAAAAAAAATATATATATACCTCAGATACATTTAAATCAATTATGCTATATATCTATACACTATAATTATGTTTTTAAAAATATCGTATTGTCATTTTCGTTTTATACTTGTAAATTAGATTCAGTTAACGATTGTATTTTACATATTTGGATGTGAAGACAAGTATGTGTTTTTATTTTTGGTTAACATTATATATAATTTTCTATGACCATGGAATTATAATAATCTTTAGAAGGAAAAAATTTTATATATAGTAGTGAAGTATTGGTTTAGAAATTATACAAAAATGTTATACTAGTCTTCTATAATTTTCTCTATGTCCATATATTTGCAGAAATTTAAGTTGGAAATTGCCATATTATATATAAATTAAATTGATATATTATAAACTGTTGTATTAAATAAATATTATAAATAAGTATATAGTTATGGCTAACATATTTAATTTTTATAGGTATCTGAAAGATGGGTTGGCAATTTGAAGTTGCTAAAATGTTTATGTATGTATCATTTCCTGTGGGAATATTTTATTATTTTAATCAACCAAATAATTTTGAAGAGTGGGTAATAAAAACGAAGAAAGAGTATTTTCCAGCTCAAAGTAAACAGATATTTGAGCAAGTGGACACATTTATTTATGATTATAATGCTACAGTTGAGAAAAAACGTTTGGAAAAGATGGAAAAGCAGTATAAAAGCGAATCATGAAAAATATATCATTGTAATATCTGTATTTATATGTTGTTAATTGTATATTGTAAATATCTTAATATAATAATTAATAATGAGGAGATTGATAGAGCTCTATTTTATGCTTTCTAAACTTTTATTTATCAATTATTGACTGTATATTACATTATCCAAATAATTAAATCTGTAGAAGCAGATTTTAAGCGGTATCTGCTATAACTTTTATTAACAGCTTGTTAACTAAAGCGTCAGATCTGCTAGCAGCATATGATTGATTGATGACATTTGTTTCATAAACATTTAAAAAGAACTGCTGATCTTACTTAGTTTCTGCTGCCAAATTATGTCAGCAAATTATTGACAAAATAAGTTTAATCATTTTATGAGATCTCAAGTGGTTACAAATCTGCCATAATAGTCTAATCAAATGATCAAAATGCCTAAAGAAGACTAATTTAGCACGACTTCAATAAATAAAATGCTGGCAAATTGGCAACAAATTCAATTCCACAGCGAAAGTATAACCATCTATGTTCATATTAAATTCGTGTTCTGGTGACAAGGTCTGCTAACATGATTTAATGACAGATTGACAGTAGAAGTCAAGTTCTTCCGCACAGTAGAGTTGGCTCGGTTTCTGCTGTCAATCTGTTACCAAACTATTACACGATCTGTTTAATTCACTGAAATATATAAGGGAGAGTGGGGTAAATAGTGACGAATATTTTTTTCTTCCTCGTGTAAGCTATTTTCAAGTTGTCGAGATCAGATGTTTTACTAAAATGATACTTTCCGCTTTCAATTATATGAAAAACTTAAGAGTCTGCAGGAGTCATAGCCAAATCCTGTGCTGGAATTCTATAACTTATTAGAGTTAACAATAGTTTCGTTATTATTGCGCAGCTTTTAGCTGCGTTCCGTTATTTACTGCAAGTACTGTCAGCACTATCAACAGCGCTCTTAAATAGGTTACTGCGAAAGCATTTCGACTAGTTTGACGTCATGAATTTTGTTGTCACTTCCTGCTGCGGCTACTGCAGCTGGAGAGATAAAGTAGTGGCAGTAAGATGATGCGTTCCCATTTGTCACCTTACAGCTCTTCGATCGATCGACGGGAGCGTCCCAGATGCGCACATTGACAAACGGACACAGCCAACCACAACGCCGTATGCCTAGAGATATTCTAGAGACTCTATAAACAACGACATATGATTGGATGTGTCCGTTTGTCAATGTGTGCATCTGGGACTCACTCACCTCGACAGTGCTCGAAGTTAAAACGGAACGCTACTGGCTTGATTTTCATTGTGCACTTGATACTCGTACTAAATAGTAACTTTCTATTAGATAATCTTAATATCCACAATGCATATCAACGGCGACGCATTCAATTAATATAATATGTTTTGTTGATAAGTATTATATCAGCTTAATACACCGTTGTTTATATATATCGTCGATATTAAGATTATTTAATAGAAAGTTACTATTTAGTACGCGTATCAAGTGCACGATGTAAACCAAGCCAATAGCAGTATACTTTTATGACGTCTAGTGTCAGTACTCACAGTAAATAAAGGAACGCACCTTTATATTGTAACGTCCGGATCTATTTTAGAACATTAATAATATATTATTATAGACCGGGAGGCCGACTTGTCTGATTTCAGACATCACTAGATATTTTATCCCTACGTTACTAGATGTAAGTACGTGCGCATATGCATATTCGCGAGCGTTAAAACATTATAATTAAAATGCCGAATGCTGCGTGCTGCTGGAGAGTCTCGAAATCGACGGATCGACCCAAAGAAACCGCTATCGCTCAGTGCGATAAGTCAACATAAACAGGAGCATGAAAACTGAATCCCAAACACCACTCAGGACACCGACGCGGTGACATCATGCAAAGGAATGAATCTCTTCCCTCGCCATAACTCCATGGACCAATCGGAGAACGACTCTCAGCGACAAAGCGACGTATAAAAGCGCGCGCATTTGTAGAGAAGGCAATATATATAATTATTTTCTTCTCATAGTTAGTCTCTGGTAGCTTCATGTACTTATTCAGCATATTATACTTAGTCGTAAAATCCGACTGTGTTGCAATTACTTTTGCCTACCCTTCATATTTTAAACGTTGCGAAATCAAATTCTGAATCGCGGGCCGCATCAACCCGCGTGGTATAGGAACATCCGAGGCCGAGCCAGGAGAACAAGCACCGTTGATTTTTCGCCAGATTCATCAATCGTTTCGCCAGGCTCCCGAGACCCAGAGTAAACTCGGTGAAAAGCAGAGTGACCCAAAAGCGGAGCCATCACTCTGTTGACCGTCCACGTAAGTCACTGATTTCACTACTTTCAAATTTCCCTATATAGTTATCTATCGTGGACGTAACAATATACTGTAGAAAAATTGCGCAACGATAACGAAACTGTCGATAACTCCAATAAAGGCCTGAGCAAAAAGATTGTCGCAATCGTTTACGACAGTGTCGTAGACGTAAGTCGGTGTCGGAAGTCAACTCACAAGGATTGGCGTAGACATATGATGCATCAATTGTATCATCTGATCGTATTTCATGCAGCATACGTCTACGCCAATCCTTGTGCGTTGACTTCCGACACCGATTTATGTTTATGATACTGTCGGAAACGATTGCGACAATCTTTGTGCTCAGGCTCTAACGAGTTATAGAGCGTGAACCATTGCCATCTGTGTGTAATTGTATGTCCATACCATGGACATAGTATACATAGACTCCGTATGTCCTATATTCTATTATCTAATAGAGTGAAGCCAACATCTAGGAAGAGAGCGAGAATAGAGGAGCTATAGTTTTCTTCCTACTTTGTCACTTTTTTGTTGCGCGTGCATCCATTTCTCGTTTCCATAATTAGAGAGCTCAACCCCGACTAGACTGGCAAGTAAAAGTTTTAGGCTGCGTTTCGAAATTCACTGCCAGTACTGAAATTCTGTAATATACGTAACATAAACTATAGATTTTCAGTACTGGCAGTGCATTTCGGAACGCAGCCTTACTTAAATCTTATTGCACACTTTGGGAACGTTCCATTTTACGCTCGCAATGACGCGAGTGTCATTCTATCTTTGTTTAACATCCAATGAGCAACAAAGATAGAATAAGGCTGAGTTCCCACTGAGCGCGTCACGCGTCGCGTCGCTGCCTGCGTCACGAGTTAATCAATTAAATCCTCTAATTGAGATGACGCGACGCGCGACACACTTCCAATTGTTCCAATGGAACGATTTGATTGGTTAATTCGTGACGTAAGCAGACGACGCGACGCGTGACGCGCTCAGTGGGAACTCAGTCTAATGGCTCCTGTACACAGGACGCGGTAATGCTTGCCGCGTGGCGAAAGTCCGCGCGACAGCCAATCAATATGTTGTTTTTCCGTAAGAGCTAGAAGGTTATTACGGAAAGCAGCATATTGATTGGCTGTCGCGCGAACTTCCGTCGCGCGGCAAGCATTACCGCGTCCTGTGTGCAGGAGCCATTAGGGTGCCATTACATGAAGCGCAGAAACGCGAAAACGCGGAAAACAAAATCTTACTAGATCCGCTACGCGTTCCGCGTCTATTTTGATTGCCTTATATTACATGAGGCACATTTTGAGCGGAAAAGCGGTATGGGAAATTATAAAATATTAATTTTTAACGGTATTTGTTAATTAAAATGCTCGTATTCAATAGATAAGCTGAAAAGATAAACATATTAGTAAAAATTGCAGTAAATTAAGTGAATACAATTTTAAAAAATGAATACAGATATTTATTTGTCACCAAGTCGTTCCGCTTTTCCGCACAAATTGTGCTCCATGTAATATAAGGAGAAATAAAGTCACGAAACAAGCGCGGAAAAATCCATTGTCACAAGTTGTCACAAGTTATCACAAGTTGTTCAACCTAACCGCCGTTACATTAAAACATGTTTAAACACATTCGGACCTGATATTTTTTTGGAATTCATTGCTTTTGGCTCCTGCACACAGGACGCGGTAATGCTTGCCGCGCGACGGAAGTTCGCGCGATAGCCAATCAATATGCTGCTTTCCGTAATAACCTTCTAGCTCTTACGGAAAAACAACATATTGATTGGCTGTCGCGCGGACTTTCGCCACGCGGCAAGCATTACCGCGTCCTGTGTACAGGAGCCATTAGACTGAGTTCCCACTAACCGCGTCACGCGTCGCG